AATCCCTTTCAGCAGTATTCTTTCCTATATAATCACTTCCCATTCTGTGTGTGTGAAACTGATTGTTCCCTCCTAAGTCGCGTACTTTGCATTTGTTCTTATTAAACTTCATCCTGGTTACCTCAGACCATTTATCTAGTCTGTCCACACGATTTTGAATTTTGACCCTATCTTCCAAACCATTTGCAAACCCTCCCTGCTTGATATCATCTGCAAACTTAATAATCATACTCTTTTGTGCCATCATCTACATCATTGACTAAGATATTGAACAGAACTGGTCCCAAACCATCTAGGTTATATTTGCCTAGTTTATTTACCACATTTACTACTTCCCCCTTATCAACAAGACTTGTTATCCTATCAAAAAATGCTATCAGATTAATTTGACATGGTTTCTTCTTTACAAATCCATGCTAGTTGTTAACTATCACCTTATTATTTTCCAGGTGTTTGCAGATGAATTCTTAATTACTTGCTCCATTATAATTCCTAACACAAAAGTTAATCTGTGATTTCCTGGGTTGTTCTTATTTCCCTTTTTATAGATGGCCACTAGATTTGCCCTTTTCTAGTCTTCTAATCGCTCCTGACTTCCATGAATTTTCAAAGATGATAGCTAAAGACTCAGATACCTCCTTTATCAGCTCCTTGAGTATTTTATTAGAGGGGTAGTCATGTTAGTCTGAATCTGCAAAAACAATGAGAAGTCCTGTGGCACCTTTTAGACTAACAGATTTATTGGAGCATGAGCTTTCGTGGGCAAAGACCCACTTCATCAGATGCATTTAGTGGAAATTCCAGAGGGCAGGTATAAATATACAGGCATAAGAAAAGAGTTCCAATCAAGAGAAAGGGTAGCAATAATGAGGTCAATTCAGTCACAGAGAAGAAGGCCCTCTTCTTGCAGCTGATGTGGAGGTGTGAACACCAAGGAAGGAGAAACTGCTTTTGTAGTTGGCTAGCCATTCAGTCTTTGTTTAATCCTAAACTGAATTTGCAGATGAATTGTAGCTCTGCAGTTTCTCTTTGAAGTCTGTTTTTAAAGTTTTTTTGTTGCAGGATAGCTACTTTTAAATCTGCTACTGAGTGTCCAGGGAGATTGAAATGTTTTCCTACAGGTTTTTGTATAGTACCATTCCTGATATCTGATTTGTGTCCATTTATTCTTTTACACAGGGACTGTCCAGTTTGGCCGATGTATATGGCAGAGGTACATTGGAACTCTTTTCCTATGCCTGTATCTACTTCTGGAATTTCCACTATATGCATCTGACAAAGTTGGTATTTGCCCACAAAAACTCATGCTCCAATAAATCTGTTAGTCTATAAGGTGCCACAGGACTTCTCATTCTTTTTGAGTATTTTAGGATGCATTTCATCAGGCCCTGGTGACCTGCAGACATTTAACTTTTTAAAGTAATTTTTAACTTATTCTTTTTCTTAAATTTTATCTTCTAAACCCCATTTCTACTAGCATTCACTGTGTTAGGCATCCTGTCACCATCTATCTTCTTGACGAAAACCGAAACAAAGAAGTCATTAAGCACCTCTGCCATTTCCAAGGTTCCTGTTATTGTTTCTCCCTCTTCATTGACTAATGGGCCTATCCTCTCCTTGGTTGTCTTCTTGCTTCTAATATATTTGTAGAAAATCTTCTTGTTACTCTGCATGCCTTTAGCTAGATTGAACTCATTTTGTGCCTTTGCCTTTCTAATCTTGCCCCTGCATACTTGTGTTGTTTGCTTATATTCATTCTTTGTAATTTGACCTAGTTTCCACTTTTTATACAACTCCCTTTTTTATTTTTAGACCATGTAAGATCACCTAGTTCAGCCAAAGTGGTCTTTTACCATACTTTCTATGTTTCCTATGCAATGGAACAGTTTGCTTTTGAGCCCTTAATAATGTCCCTTTGAAAAATTGCCAACTCTCTTCAGTTGTTTTTCCTCTTAGTTTTGCTTCCCATGGGATCTTACCTACTAGTTCTCTGAGTTTACTAAAATCTGCTTCTTGAAATCCATTGTCTCTGTTTTACTGTTCTCCCTTCTACCATTCATTAGAATCATCAACTCTGTTTTCATGATCTCTTTCACTCAATGCCTTCTATTTTCAAATTCTCAGCCAGTTCCTCCCTATTTGTTAAAATCAAATCAAGAACAGCTGATCATTTATTCCTATCCTTGGTTTTCTGTCTTTTAATCAGTTACTGATCCATGAGAGGACTTTCCTTCTATCTCTGCTTACTTTGCTTAAAAGCCTTTGATGTGGGATCTTGTCAAAGACTTTCTGAAAGTCCAGGTATGCTACATCAACTGGTTCACCCTTTCCCACATCTTGCTGAGATGCTTAAAGGACTCTCATATATGTAATCATGATATTTTGTGGGTAAAGCCCACTACCTCAGATGAACTAAAATGGACAAAAAAAGGGGGGACCCTCACAATTTATAATGAAAAAGGGGGTACCTGTCAATTGTAGTGGTGGTGCTAATGAGGCTATATGTCCATGGGACACTTCCAGCACATTCAATTAGTCTCACCAGCACCTGCACTACAAATGGTACTTTTTCCCCTTTCTTCCTTCTTTTTCTGTTATCAATTATGAGGATCCCCTCTTTTTTTCTCCACTCAAGCTCATCTGAGGTAGTGGGTTTTGCCTATATATAGTATAGTCTCTAATGTGCCACAGGACTACTTGTTGCTAATACATTATGTTTATCAGTGTTTCATAGAATCATAGAATCATAGAATAATAGGACTGGAAGGGACCTCAAGAGGTCATCGAGTCCAGCCCCCCGCCCGTCCAGCCCCCCGCCCTTAAGGCAGGACCAAGCTCTGTCTACACCATCCCTGACAGATGTCTGTCTAACCTGTTCTTAAATATCTCCAGAGAGGGAGATTCCACCACCTCCCTTGGCAATTTATTCCAATATTTGACCACCCTGACAGTTAGGAATTTTTCCTAATGTCCAATCTAAACCTCCCTTGCTGCACTTTAAGCCCATTACTCCTTGTCCTGTCCTCAGAAACCAAGAGGAACAAATTTTCTCCTTCCTCCTTGTGACACCCTTTTAGATATTTGAAAACCGCTATCATGTCCCCCCTTAATCTTCTTTTTTCCAAACTAAACAAGCCCAGTTCATGAAGCCTGGTTTCATAGGTCATGTTCTCTAGACCTTTAATCATTCTTGTCGCTCTTCTCTGTAAAGAGGAGAGCCACAGCCGAGCGCGCGGGCCGGCCCCAAGCAGGAGAGGACCAGGGCTTGTCCGGGAGTTGAACCCGGGACCGCTCGCACCCTAAGCAAGAATCATACCCCTAGACCAACAAGCCAGACCTAATATAATTCTCAGAGGGGTAGCCATGTTAGTCAGTACCTGCAAAAACAATGAGGAGTCCTATGGCACCTTAGAGACTAACAAAATTCATGGGTAACTTATTCAAAAACAATTTCATCTCTCTTGGTATTCACAATTCCCCATCTATTCCTGGGAGTGAGCCACATCCACCCTGACTCAATTGGCCTTGTTAAAGTAGGCCTACACTTGATAAGTTACTCCCATTTTTTGCTATGCTGGTACATACATGTACACATATATATCTCCACCTCTGTGATTTCCACTCCGTGCATCTAACAAAGTGGTTTTTACTCTCAAAAGCTTATGCTCAAATAAATCTATTAATCTTGAAGCTGCCATAGGACTCCTCATTGTTTTTGCTGATACAGGCTATGTCTAGACTGCAGTTTTATCATAAAAAAGATATACAAATTTCTTTTTCCGCTTTTTTTTTCAGAAGAGGCTTTTCCAAAATGTGGCCTGTCTACACAGGGTCAAATTTCAGAAAAAAAATCCTCTTTCAGAATATCCCTTATTCCTTTCACTGTTCCAAAAAAGCGGTCGTGTTCCCTGGACATGGCAGAGGTATCCCGGAAAAAACTCTGTAGTCTATTGCCACAGGTTAACATGGCTACCCCTCTGAGACAATGTTTACTGTGTGTCTAGTTGCAAAACTGAAATTATATGTGTAATTTTTGTACATGTATGCACTAGCTTATGCCAAAAAGAATTTGAACATCCAAGAAAGATAACTAGAGAATCAGTTACTTGATTTATGGATGTTGATAGCCATTTGGGTGCATAAATTGACGTGTTTAGAACAAGCAGCAGCCTGCATGTTGTATGAGCCTTTTTCTATGTAATTTCAGGTCAGTCTCCACTCAAAAGTTATGGTCACCTGGTATGTTGCTCAGAAGTGTGAAAGATCAACACCCCTAAGCAATGTAATGAAGTCAATCTAACCTAACCAATCTAACCAGTGTGGAGAGCACTAGGTTGTCAGTTTCTTTTGTGAACCTAGCTACATCTTCACAGGAAGGTGAATTAACTATACCAATGGGAGAACCCCTCCCATGACTATAAGCAGCGCCTGTACTGAAGAGCTACAGCAGCACCTATGGAGCATGTCAAGTATTGGTAAGCTCTTAGGTTTAGCATGCACAAGCACATTAAGTTGGTAGCACACACCTTTAAATAAAATTCCAAATGGAAATATGCATATTACTAAGCATCCTCTGTAAGCTTTCTTCATCCTTGCCAAACTGGAAAATATTTAAAATTATGAATAGATTTTCTTAGTTTATGCTTGGTGTTCCACATAACTTTGTACTGTGTAACTATGCTAAATAACTACAGTATACTTTTCATACTATACTAGAATTATCAAGCCCTATAAACAACCTCTGAAAAGCCCTTCTTGAGCAAATGATTACGTAGCTTTATATTAAAATACACAGTGGGCATGATTCACAGTTACATTCTTCCAGTTTCACATCAGAGTTACACTGACATTACACAGGAATAACAAACTCAGGAATCAGGCCCATTGTATCTTTTAATATAGTCAGAGATTTATCTTATGTATCCCTGAAGAATGTGTTCAGTTTGTCTCTATTATGAATAGGGGTCTTGTCTGTTCAGGCAATGATAGCATTGAATCAAACCAATAATAGTTGCAGTGATAATAAAATGTTTTTATTGTCTGTGTATTTCATAAGTTACATTCATTTTGAAAAAATAGTAAACTGTCTCCAGGTCTACTTTATATATAAGGAATGCGCTCATCAGCAAAGTTATACACAATCAAATGTAGAAGAAACTTACTGCTATGACTTTAGCATATCAAACATAAAGGGTAGCTTCCTCCCTGCCCTCCTTCTTCTATGTGCTTCCACATATCTGGATTAAAAAGGGGTCACCATTAAAAATAAAGAAATATTACTGGCTTTAACTTAAATTGTATAGTGTGAAAATATTCAAAATGGAGGAGGATATGGTTCTTTGAAGGATCTAATCATTTTAAATGATTAACATGTATTTTTGTACAGATTATTTTAAATGGTTAGAATGTATTTTTGTATAGATCCTATCCCCAGCAATCTTTTCTTACAGTGTGAACATACAGAACACAATTCCTTTTTATGCTCTTTTGTCTTTATTTATTAAATTGTCTGTGAATGTATCCATTGCATTGCGCAATTTTACCTGAAGAGTTCCTATAGTTAAACTAAGTCAGTTAATCAGTAATTTGGTGCTGTCTTCTAGTGTGCATTCCTCCTTTTTCAAATGCATTTATTGAAGTAAAGGATTTACATCATATGAAATCACAGGATTTTCATGAGTTAGACTAGCATACATATGTACAGCTTTAGGTAGAGCTTTCTAAAGTAATATTTACAGTGTAAACATCAACTTTTATTATATCAGAAACAAATATATCACAACTGTCACTTCACAACATATTTGTTTTGGTTTGAATACTGTATCATTTCTTTGAAATACTATGTGGAACTCAAAAAATAGTTTGTTCTTGTCAAAGATTTTATCAATTCTCCTTCAGAGACTCTGAAAAACAAGAAAAATAGGTGTTTCAAAATCAATGTGACTGTGACATCAGAAAATGTTATCCAAAGTATATACATCCAATATCCAAATCCTGCAAACACCATCTACTGGGTGGAAGAGTCCTCACTGGGAGTAGCGACATTGATAATTATGGAACCAACAGTGAAAGTAAGTGGATGTACCCAAGAGCACGGCAAAAGCCAGCAGAGAGCCATTTAAAAAGCTGGCAGGACCTGAGGTTGCAATAGGATAGTACCTGTAAGAAATTTTAAGTTACTTTCACCGCTGTATAAAACCCATATTCATGGCAATAAACACTGTGCCTGATAGTGAGTGACTAAAGAATCAAGCTCAGTCAACAAGAGTGTTGTTGAGTATCACCATATGAGGCAAGTGGAGTGATGCTGAAAGCAGTTGTATCCTTGAAGTGAGTAAGTGCAGATTCCCAAGTTGACCTGGCACTAATGGCTACTGATAGAACAATGGACAATACTGATCAGATTCTCCCTCTTCTAGCAAATCTGTAGCATGGTTACAGTCTCCTAATATGGGAGGGAGGAAAAAAGGAGCAAACTTAGGACTTGCCAGGACCAAGCCAATGATCTTTATAGTCCAGTATCATGTCTCTAAGGGTATGTCTACACTACCCCGCTAGTTCGAACTAGCCGGGTAATGTAGGCATACCGCACTTGCAAATGAAGCCCGGGAAATTCAAATCCCGGGCTTCATTTGCAAGTGTGGTATGCCTTCATTACCCCGCTAGTTCGAACTAGCCGGGTAATGTAGGCATACCGCACTTGCAAATGAAGCCCGGGAAATTCAAATCCCGGGCTTCATTTGCAAGTGCGGTATGCCTACATTACCCTCCTAGTTCGAACTAGGAGGGTAGTGTAGACATACCCTAACTGTGGCCAGAACCAGATGCTGTAGAAGAAAGTGTCAGAAATGTTGTATGAGACAGTTATGGAAAAACTTTCAAACAGAGAACATTTCCTAACCCCCTCGGCTGCGTCTAGACTGGCATGATTTTGCACAAATACTTTTAACAGAAAAGTTTTTCCATTAAAAGTATTTGTGCAAGAGAGCTTCTACGCTGGCATGTGCCTTTGCGCAAGAGATTTGCTTTTGCGCAAAAGCATCCATGCCAGTGTAGACGCTCTCTTGCACAAGAAAGCTCCGATGGCCATTTTAGCCATCGGGCTTTCTTGCGCAAGAAATTAACGTGGCTGTCTACACTGGCCCTCTTGCCCAAGAATACTTGCGCAAGAGGGCTTATCCCTGAGTGGGAACATCGGAGTATTTGCTCAAGAACCTCTGATTTTGTACATTATAAAGTCAGTGTTCTTGCACAAATACTCGCAGCCAGTGTAGACAGGCGGTAAGATTTTACGCAAAAGCAGATGCTTTTGTGCAAAATCATGCCAGTCTAGACGCAACCCTCATATAGAAGTTGTCTCATACCCTGAAGTGTGATCTTTTGGCTCTTTGCTTATGTTAGGAAAAATGCATTTTCTTCTGTTATGTGAAGGTAATGACAAACTGACAAAAAACATTTTCTTACTCATATAAGGGCATAGCATTCAGCAAATACTAGGATGCATTAAATAATTCTTTTTTCTTATTTGTAGTCCATTTTTTGCCCAGCTGTATCATTAGTAGCATGGAACCAATGAACAGCCCCCGAGGGTACGTCTACATTTGATCCCTAGTTCGGACTAGGGATGCAAATGCAACGAGTGAAGTAGCTAATGAAGCCGGGATTTAAATACCCGCGCTCCATTAGCATGAGCTCTCCAGCGTGCTAGTTCGAATCACAGCTGATTTGAATCAGGAAGTGCGCGCCGGGACGCATTAGTTCGAACCAAAGCCCTTGGTTCGAACTAACGTTACTCCTCATTTTTTGGAGTAAAAAACATTTACTCAAGGAAGCACTGGGGAATAATTACTTCGAATGATGTTGGGGAGTAGTTATATCGAAACAGCAGCAACAGAGCGTCCATACTACCGCAATTTCAAAATAATTTTTTCAAAATAAATTGTATTCCTCATGGAAAGCAGGAGCTATTATTTCAAATAATCAGGCCATTATTTCAAAACAACAGGCTTAGTAGTATGAATACTCCACTTATTTTGAAATAAGAGGAGCTATTTTGAAATAATTCCCTATTATAAACTAGAGCTCAGATATTAAGCATATCAGAATAGAGGGGGAAAAAGGTCTGTCTCCCCTTAATACACAATTTCCTAGGTTGGGGCGGGGTGCCCATGTTTCTCATTTTGCAGTTTTAGGTGGAGTTTGGATTTCAATTAGTAAGAATGATGTAAGGTAAAAAGCAGGGATGGAACTTTATTTTTTAATTAAAGAAAATCGGTGAATTTATTCTCAGAAGTTGGAATATTCTTCCTAATTAGAAATGAGTCATTTATGGTTTTTTGCCTCAGTGCATGTGGTTAGAAACACCCAAGTGAGCTAGGTGAATTATCAACAGTGTCAGACTGTTCATTTAATTAGGAAGTCAGAGTGAAAGTAATCATGGGGATCATTTAATTAATCTTATTAAAGAGGTCATTATGCTGAAATACATTCCTTGTAGACATGTAAAATATATACTGGAATGTGGTTCATGCCAGAGGGGTGCACTTTACAGAGAGGTGATCTTTTGTGTAGGATTAATATCTTAAGGGTGGGGTGACATCTGCTGAATGGCAAGGATAAAAGTAAATTTGGACTTACCAAAGGGAGATGATTCAGGAGTTCATCTACTGCAACATCATCATAAGTTTCAGAAAAGGAAGGTTCAAGCAATTCTGTTTCATCTCGAAGGCTGGTAGGGTTTAACTCTTCTTGGCTGGTGCAGATGAGAAACATGGATTTAATTGCACACAGGAAAATAACCCAGACCCAATCATAGGAACTTTCTTTTTGTTAAATATTGTTAAACTATTTTTAAGTAAGCAAACTAGCATGTCTAGCACTTCCTTAGATATCAGCAAATTTCAAACACTATGCATTTTCATTATAAAAACATTATCTGATAGCCAGTGCTGTGCATAAGCCCTAGTTCCTTAATTCTTCCTTTATTAGGATGTTTGTTCTGAATAAAAGCACTTTAAGAATATTTCAATAGCATTTGCCTTTATTTTAAGAATCCCAAATTCTGTGCATTTTCCTTGTTCTTTCATTCTAATTGGACTGTGAAGTGTGCTGTAAATACACCACTAAGGATACGTCTACACAACAACATTATTTCTAAATCCTTGGTGTTATTTCAAAATAACTTAGTCCATGTCTACAGAGCAGGCAGTTATTTTGAAATAATGTTGAAATACTGTCAAGCTGGAGGTCTTCTTACTCTGACTATTGTAACCCTCATTGTACAAGGAGTAAGGGAAGTCCGAGGAAGTGTGTTCTGTTTTGAAATAAGTGCTCTGTAGAGGCTCCCAATTTTGAAATAAACTATTTCAAATAAGATATGCAACTGACGTAGCTCAATTTGCATAGCTTATTTCGAGTTAAGCCCTGCTGTGTAGACACACTCTAAGAGAAAATGTCCCTAACTCTTTTCAATATATTAAGGTTACATTGCAATATCATTAATATTCATTGTCTTTTATTTTCTTTATACCTTCTTTTTCCAGTTAAAACTGAGTTTAAATATTTCTTCACGGCCATTTGCTTTCTAAATCGACTGTAGTTGTCAGTGAAGACAGCATCAGAGTGACGTTTGACAGGCATCTGTTCATCCATAAGGTTGTTGCTATGTAAACACAAGAAACACTGGAAATGATCACAAATACATTCAACTAGAAAAGATAGATTTTAAACTATGTGCAGTAAGTTTTCCATTTGCTGACTAGCTGAGTAAAAAATCCTTTTCCATTCCAATTTTCTTTTTCTATCTCAAAAGTCACTGTGATACTACAAGTAAAAACCTGACTTTTATTCAGTCTTTACTGAGGCAGATTACCTGTTGACTTCCTCCCATCTCCATGTACTGTAAGTGAAATTATAATTGATGTCTCTGAATGTCTTCTATGATCAAGGGCTCAGCCTGAACTTCAGTATTCTGACAATTCTGTTTTCTATCGATTAATATCACAAATTTTTAAGTGCTAATTCGTGTAACCTGGGGAACCCTTTGAAACAAACTGAAATCATCCTGGTTTACACTAGAAAGATATTTAAGTAAATTATGAAATTATATAGGAAAGCTGAAATATAAAGAAACTCTCAAAACTCCTAGGCTTGTGCTCATTGAAGTCAGTAGGAATTTTGCTTTTGATTTCAACAGGAGCAGGCTCCAATAGTTATATTGTTTGTTTATATATATATATATATATAGCTTTAAAATGTTTGCTTTGAGTGTGATAGAGAGTAAATGTGTGCAAATGGAGTTCAACTATTTCTCATTTGAGGAATAAGGTTTGGGGTTAGTTTACTTACTTCAGTTTTTTAGCACTAAACCATTGGCTGTGAGTAAATGTCAGAGGAAAAATAGCACTTTGGGAAACCCAAAACTGAAGTCGTGAAGTTTCCTGCATCATAGTTTAGGAGTAGATCTTCAGATGGTGTAATCTGGCATAATTCTACTGAACTATGCAGTTTTTCACCAACTGAGAATTCAGTCCTTTGTAGCCCGGATAGTAATAAGTAAGTGCCAATTCAGTGCTCAGTTTCCAGTCACCTTCTGGCCATGTGAAATGGGCATTAATCCACCTGATTTTCTGTTTGAATGTCAAAGTGTGGGATTTGCACAGCTTACAAAGGGGAAAATATATAAAACAATTAGCTCAATAGTTGTAATCCTATAGTATATATCAGTAGTCTGAACAGCATGCAGTCAGATTTTTTCATTGCTATGTTTAGTATGTAATGTGACTCCTCTTAGGTGTTCTCTTATATGTTATATGTAATTCAAAAAGTCAATTTTGAACAAAAATTGCAATGCATATAAATAATAATGTATTAATGTTAATTAATTACATTTAATCAAATGGTTTCTACATGCAAAGAGCTCAAAAAACTTTTGAAAAGATAGTAAAGATCATTGTTCTCCAATTTACAGACGGATAAACTTTATGCACGGAATGATTAGTGAAGTAAGCTAAATAAAACTTTATTTAAGTGTAACCTCACCTAACCCGTTTTCCAATAAGTGATTCAAGATATCTTCTTGCAGAAAGTTGTCCCAAAAGTTTACTGTACCCACTGGTGAAAAGTCCATCAGCATGTCTTGCATTCCTAATATGGATGGAAAAAATAACAATAAAACCTGGACTCTGTATATTACAAGTAAATACAGTTTATATTTTCAATTTCATAATCACTTCTTTAGAAAATCATGATCAGTACTTTGATTTCTTAAATGATTTTTTTTTAGAATTCCAAATGAATGATTATTAATGTTAAGCCCTTTCAGTGCCCAGGCTATAGTGACAATGAAATTCAGAAAACTGTAACAAACATACATATTGCTGTCATTATTCAACTACATTCATTGTTCCTTTCTAATACTTTAATTTTCCTTTCAAATGTCTTAAGCTGTTTGAAAAGTTCATTGAAATAATTGTAGGAAAATCACTTTCTACCTTGGTATCACTCAAGCAATGTATCATAAATTATATTTATGATAATGAAAATTCTCACCTATCCATAGCTCTAGATATGTCAAAATAGAATTTGTCATTTTCAGGTAGTGTGTTTTGCAAAATGTCAGTTTCAGGTTTTAATGACCCTTGGGCTCCATCAGGTTCACTTGCTCCATCAAATGGCATTCTGTTTCCCAACCTACTGGAGAAGAAAATCTCATAAAGTATTGTAAAATGAGGGTATTTGATATTGTCTCCTTCAATGCAATTTGCATTCAGTATCATATGAATCAAACAATTTATATGTCTAATCCTTAAGACATTTTAAAGCAAACTGGATAAAGCAGAAGAAAATACTCTGCAAGTAATAATCCATCATTAACAAGGTGGTAGAATAACCAGTGTAATGGATTTCCCCTATCTTTAACCATATATGAATAGACATCTTACGTCACTGCAAATAATTGACTAAAGGGAATATCATCCTATCCATGGCCATTGTACTTATTTGCAAATGGCAATCCGAAAACTTTTAATGGCAACCATTGCAATATGTGATATAAATTTTGGATGAAATTCACTCCTGTATAAAGGGCCAGATCTATGTACCAGTTAAGTTCCAGGTAACACCTAAAAATAGTGCTAAGGTATAAGTAAGTGGTTCTTAGGCCTTTGTGCAGGGTCTCTGCAGAGGGATGAATTTTGCCATATTAGTCATAAACATATAGCTATATACTGTTTTTATTCTCTTTTAAAACTCATTTGCTATTAACTCCTCAGAATAGCTCACTGCTAATCATTAATGTATTTTCATCAGGACCACAGTTCTGTTCTGAGTGTTAATATCCCAAACATTGTCTGATATGCTTTTTGTTAATTTGTTACTGTTGCCCACTCCATCAGCTGATGCATTATTTCATGTATTATTAGGGATAACATGACTGTGATGCAGTGGTGTGGCCTCAAACATTGCTTCTGGTCACTACTGTCTTCTATGGAAAAAATGATAGTTTCCTGTCAGAGTGGTAGATGCAGCATGGGATGATGTGCCAAATCACACACTAAGGCTGGGAAGAGATTTCATGCTAAGTCATATGCTCCCTTTGGACAAATTATACTTATAAGGTTACTTGCATAAGTAAGATTTAGCTTCAATGAGTATTCCTTCAGCTACGGCTACTTTATGGAACAAGTACAATGACTGTTGTGTGAAATAAATCAACCCCACTGGCAAATTTTAAAATTATACAACAATAGTTATATTCCTTTGTTCTTTTCAGCATGTACATTTGTTTGAGTAATTTTAAAAAACACATTGTAACATTTCCCTTTACCTTATCTAAATAATAAAAATTCAAAATATCCAACTACTCAATGTGTAAAATGTATTCTTTGAGCTAAAGCTTTGCACAGACATTAGGCAAGTAATTTCTCGCAATCTATTGTAACATAGTCTACAGCCATAGTTTGAGGCACGCTGAATCTGTTTCTACTCTTAAGCACGCTGTATGTTTGAGAAGATTTACAGGATAACAGTCCAGACATAATGGCAGGGTTGCAGTGAGTTTTTTGCCACAGGAGGAGATACTTATTATTTATGATAGGCCAAAGCTAACCCTGAAACACAAGTCAGCACATTTAGGTTACTATCTGTTATATTGTTCAGGTAAACAGCAATAATTAATAAAGGTCTATTAGAGTGGAAATGGTACTTAGGACCTTTAAAATAAGAACTCATTTAACTGCCATCCTCCACTGATGCTGGCACTGGCTGAATGAAAAGACCACATCACTTGCTGGTGTTCTTCAGGAACAGAAGGAAGAGAGGGTATCATTTCTTAAAACCTATTTACAGTTTACACTATTTATAGAAGAGGAAGTAGAGCAACCCATACTTTTCATGCTATTGTGAAAGATGTTCACCTTAACTGAAGCTATTGTAAAGATTACTAGCTTACCCAGTAATTATTAGTCACTTACTGTAATGTTGATGTGAAACTACCCAATGAGCTTTTTATTCATGTTTGCTTGAGAGAAAAGTCTTGTGTTCAAGCCTTGGGGGGCTTTAGGTGAAGTTCGTATCAGTTGGAACAACACTTACCTCATAGCTGAGTACGTCCCCAAAGGAGGTAATGCCAAAGCTGGCAAGCAGAGAACACTGAAGAGTGTAAAAGACAGAAAAAGCTGAGAGCTGCTTCTGTGTTCCATCGTTGTGGACCTGAGTTAATGAATAGGAGATAGTAATTACTTCCTATCCTCACTGGTTCCCTACTGGATAGACAAAAGGGTTATTTCTAATATGTTTTTTTCCTGTATGAAGGAAAGGGGAGGGAGGTTATAGATCCCACGTGGC